TTTTTACAAACCTTGCACAAGCGGCTAGAAAGTAGCCAGAAGTATTTAGTGAGACATCCAGGCACTTACCCAGAACCTCTTGCATGTGGAGCATGCAGTATGATAAGCTAAAATCTGAGATTGCTGAAATTCGCCTCTTGTACATCCTCTTTGTGATATCCGCTGTTAAGTTTATCAGGACCCACCATTCTCCGAACGCCAACCCGCCCGCACCAAACCTCATGATGCTCTACATTGCGGTGAACAACCCCCCAGGAGGTCTTCATCGATGTGCAAAGAAAGCCGGACGAGAAGTTGAAGGCCGCCACTTGTGATCCCTTAACCTACGTGGCGGCTTTCAAGAGAACAGGGGTACCTTTTAAAGGGGTGAGTGTAGAGGAGTATACACGTGCAGGGGACGTAGAGGTATGTAGGGCTGAGGGATTTTGAGGCCTCACCAAAATCAGAGTCCTCTTGGCCTCTTTTGGAGTCCTCAACGAAAGGATGAAAGTCTTTTGTGGTGTCGAAGATGGAAAATGTTTCCTTTGGAAAGACCCATTTACTATTCTTACAACGCTAGCAGTTCTCTTTTGCAAATGATGGTGTGGGGTCCAGAGAGGGAATGCAGGAGCTACAGGATTGCTTGGGAGATCACAGGCGTGCGTGTCCTCTTTCTGAGGAGCTGTTGTGTATAGGGCTTTGTAGTGATTAAGTCGAGGTAGGCAGTTCAAAGCCTTGACTGGGAAGTCATGGACTATGTGGACATTAGCTATCCCACCGTCCCCTACTACTGCGAAACCCATGCTTTCTATAAAGAAGGTTTTGTTGTTAGGATGTGGGGAGGCGTTTACAAGAGCTGAGGTGGCGGAATTGATGAGCTGGAGGCTTCCCAAGAAAATATATTTTAGATTTAACCTTGCTAATTGTTCAAGGTGCAAGTCAAGTTGGGCTGCAGGAAGCATGGAAATGAAGTATAGGTTGAGGATCTTTTCATATCTATTGCAGGCATTTGATGTCTGGGTGGCATGTACGCTCTTGCAGATGGCTCCTCACCCCTAGAACATCCTCACCCCTCAATCATGGGACCCCTCTGCCTTCGTGCTATACCAAAAGCTAACCTCCATTTAATCCGAGACAGCCCTGAGCCTTGAACCCTAGACCTCCCTCGGGCACAATCCTCGCAGCCTCTTGTAACTTGCATATAACCCCGCACTGATACATCCGAAGCCTTCCAGCAAAGCAGGTACAGCTAGAAAACGAGATTGAAGTGATGCGCAGCTTAAGGCCATCCTTTCAGGGCTTTGGGCTTAGGGCCAGCGAGCGGTTTGTTTGTTGGACATTGTTTCCTTGCCTGCATTTTATGGGAAAAGGGCCCTGATTCCTTGGGGTTTTGATGAGTTTGGAGCCTCTCGTTTGGCTGAAAGAAGCCGACTCCAAAGGCTGGGCAATGTAAAGCGAACCTCACCCTAGATGATGGTTTATATAGGGAATAGTACTAACATGGGAACTGAAACTATTCTAAATTTCCCTGCACAGGGCCATGCTGCATTCGGCTTTAGTGAAGCTCGGGTTAAGCTGTTTTCTTTCAGTTTCAGGGGTTCAGAGTTCAGGCTTGCAAGGTTTTGGGTGTGAAGCTAATCATTGAGGCTTAGGGGCGTAGAGTTCAGGGGTTGGGCGGGTTTCAAAAAGCATGTTTCGATATGTTTTGAGATGTGACGGATTTCATAGATAGTGAGGTTGGAGAGGGTGGCCCAGGCCTCTAGAGCTATGGTAGGGTTTCGGTCTTGGGGGATGAAACGGCTGGGAGATACTTGGAAGCCTATGGTTTAGGTGTTTAGGGTTTAGGGTCTTCGTAACTGCTTGAGAAGTCTTGAGTAGGCATTGGTGAGATTTTCATAGAGGTGCTAATTAGTTTATGCTGCATCTATATGGATTGTCTGGGGTTCTGGGCCATAGCGATTGTTCTGGCGCCGCCTTGACATGAGAGTCTAGACTTCAGACCTGAGCGTTTGAGAGGGGTTCTGGTGTGGATGCTGGGCCTTTTAAGATTTCGGGGCCTGCCCTCGCATTGGGAAAGAGAATCCTGAAAGCCCGGATGATTTCCCTATATGCCGTCTGCGGGCGCACATGAGGGCAACGTGTTGGCTTAAGGCACAGCTTTCAGAGTGGGGTAGATTTTATCTTAAGCTATGACTTTTTCAGGGTTCATACCGTCTTTTTCATTCTGAAGCGCGGGCCTAAAACCTTTTCCATGGTAGCAAACCACACTTGAAAGAAGCTACCAAAGTGGCATCTTCGAGAGTGGCATACCCTCCTCAGGAACGTAACCCCTTTTTAAAAGGTCACTCTTAGGATCAAGGCTAAGACGTTATGAGGGAGGAGCCAGCTTTCTCCCCCACAAGCCCATGAAACAAAGACAGTAGACAGACTTGAGAAGCAAAGCCTTGAAAAGCCGTACAATGGAAATAGATACTTGCCAAACCAGTTCAAACCTTACCCAGGCACCCTCACATCGTTTCGTACTACGGATGTCACTGGGCCAACGACCATCTGCAGATGTACCTGGAGTACATGGCCGGTGGTTCCCTTGCACAGGCCGAGAAGGGCTGATGGGGATTCACAAAAGTTTTTTTTGGTCTCGTGAAAGCTTAGATTGCTACTGCTGCTACGGCTGCTTTTTGATAATATCTTGAGTCTTACTGCGTAGATGGGTGTTGGTGCCGACGGTGACGCAGGCTCATCATGATACAGACAGGTGGGCCCTGATGCTTACAAGTAGTCGCGGTCTTGGACAGGATAATTCGAATCTTGAAGTTCAAATGCCTGCCTTAGCACAAGCGCGTTTGCTAGTAGGCTTCATCATCAAAGTAGCAAATGGTAGCACTGCAATGGGTATTGTCATGGCATACTTCAAATCCTAGGCTCCCTTACCTCGCATGGAACAGCAGAACACTGAGCCTGGAGGTCCTTTCCAACTTCGGGCCCCTGGAAGAGTCCTTGATCGCTCGGTACACGCAGGGAGCCCCAGAAAGCAGCGCCTGAAGGGTTTGGAGCTGCCAGATTGCTTGGAGGATCGTTTTGGATAATGGAAAATTCTATGGAAACCATTTTTTATGGGGTATATAGAGGGGTTATATTGGGATCCTGGAAAATAAAATGGAAACTACTATTTAGGGTGTAGGTTTGGTACCTGAAGAGTGTTGGACCTGAGTTAGGTGTCGTGCTTAAGAAGCTACGTACGGCATACGATTAGCCGTAGTGTTGTCAGTTTATTTATTGCTGTGAGCTCTGCACACAGTCATTTGTGCAAGCTTGCTGATGCGCTTGTCCTATGTTCTTAATTGCTCCTCTCTGTACACGTGCTGTTTGCGCGCGTCCATCCAATCCTGACATGCCTAGGATTAAAATCGTGACATGCGTATAAAATATTTACACTCCTAAAATATAATGTTTCCTCTATTGAATCTATACTGCCTACATAGTCCTAGAAAGCCCTCATCTATTTCTTAAGTTAGTTCTGGGACCCTACGGGCAAACTCTCCAAGATCTTAGCACTTGGAGGTGCAACGAAACATAGTCAGCACAAATGCTGCCAAAACGGCGCGCAGAACGTTATTCCTAATATGTATAGGGACTACATGGGGATACATAGGGGCTATCTAGGAATATGGAAACGAAAATGAACACTACGACATATGATGGGGTAGACACAGAAAGCATGAGTCGCCAAGAGCAACAGCAAGAATACGCAAACCTCACAACAAAAGTCACAACAATCAGAAGGTAGCGACTGAGGCCTTATGAAGCCAAACCTCAAGACTGGTCCAAACCTCCAAGTCTCGTGAGAATGTGCCAGTGTGGTAGAGGCGGAGTGGCGGAGTACGTCCCCAACCAATTTGGATTCCCTTACTTGTTAGCAAGGAGGCGGGCTGAGCTGGCCCTTCGAACAGGAAAGCACCGAATACCATGAAGAGATCTCGGTGAGATGAACTTACAGCTCCACAGAGTGATGGCACATTGTGTCTCTGATTTGGGGAAAACGACATGCGACCGGAAACATAGCGCGAAGAACTGCCACGACAATAGGGAACCAAAGCCCTGCAAGAAGGAATCCAGCATGCCTCATGTTGACAGTCGAGGCAGCAGCTGCTGCTTGGTTCCGGCCTCAGGAAAATGCAGGAGCATGAGGCGCTGGTCAGGTCTTCTCCTTTGTTGCCAGTAAACTATTGAAAGGCGTAGGGCACTGGAGCTAGATCCCCAGAACAAAAAGGGCCACGTGGAGTGCGTTGCTTTCATATTGTAGGGCCTCAGGAATTATGAAGCTGACATGAATGGAGCATGCTGCAAGAGCTTGCGGCATGCGGCGGTTCGTAGAAATTGTTTGGAGTTACACGCGCAATACAGGAAATCAAGAAAAAGTGCTTGCAGCCATGCACTGCAAACTCTATGTAACCGCAACTACCCTACGTATACTAAGCAAGATTCGCATCACATGCCCGTGGGCCTTCTCAGGCCTGGAGTACCTGCACACGCAGAATCCTCACATCCTGCACCGTGATATCAAAGCTGCTTGCCATCAAGTTGAGATTTCATGACTTGGGACCACTTGGCATGGCTTCAGTTCTTTGTATCAAGCGGCAAAGGGGAGAAAAAGCAGGATGGATAGGGGATGTATTTGGATTATGTATGGTAATCCTTTTGGGCCGACAGTATACGTCTTATGGTCAGGCTACAGGATGAAAAGTTGCAGGTTCATGGTGTAAGAAACCTGGTGGGGTATGGTGGGCTACCCTCAGAAGCAGCATCCACGGACACGGTTTCAAGTTTTACCATTACTGTGAAATTGTATCCTGGAAAGCCCGATGGTTTCCTCGCTCCCTAAGATTAACCCCTCATTTCCTAATGCACCTGCATTTTTTGAAGTTTTAGTGCTGCGTGTCTTGAAAACCCAGAGAAGACTCTGATAATGTTGGGGGCAGGGATAGTGCATACTTGAGATTCTGACTTTTTTGCTGTGACAGGGTGCGAATGTCCTGGTGGGCTTGGACTCCCTGGCTAAGCTGGCGGACTTTGGCTGCTCCAAGCGCGCCAAGGATGTGACGAAGGGCTACTGCAGATCTTCTGTATCAGAAGTATCATCATATTCCTTGGGAGTACACGGGAGGACCTGAATTTCCGGAAAGTACTTGGCATACTTTGTGATTTCAGGTGAGATCTGGGCTAGAACGACTTCATGGGGTTCCATCGAGAGGGAGGTGAAAGATGTATGTATGTTGGTTTATAAGGGTTTGATGGGAGTTTCAACAGTTTGTGAGCGGGATATAAGTGATGAAAGGTTAAGAGTGGAACATGAAGATTTTGTGGCTATCTGTCCCAAACGGTGGAATCTGAAAAGGAGCCCTACAAAGACTCGTGTCCTTTTTTGCAGCCTGTATGTATTTTCCATGCTTGTCCGGGAGGGTGAAGGTTGGCTTTGAGGTTCAGCCGATTTTTTTGCTGCGTTGCCAAGAAGAATCTAGAAAGTTTCTCAAATTACGGGTCCGTTTCTTGGAAGTCATTGTACATATCAGGCGGGGGCTAGCCTATTGATGCATCAACAAGAAATTTGCTTCGGCATCAACAAAAATTCGTTAGTAATTATGGATCAAAGCGATGCAAGTGTTTGTATGATGTGAGGATTCGGGCTTGGTGTGTGTGTGCCCCGACTTTTGGTAGCACAGTGGGCCAAACAAGCTAGCATTTCTATTGATACCAAATCATTGCTCTATTAATTGCAAAACCGTTGTGCATTCCCAGTTTAATACATAATTGAATCTCTATGCACATATTATTGCTCTAACCTTATTATTACGGTTAAGGTTATTCGTATTCTAATTTCTACGAGTTTTAAGTGAATGGTGCTATTCCCGTGATTTTACGCCACTAGACCAGGAGACGACCTCTGTGACTATCGAGGGCTCCATTCCGTGGATGGCTCCTGAGGCTAGGCTCTTCGTGATTTACACGGGCGTTTAGGGCTTAGGTGGTGTAGGTTGGATACTGCCCTCACTCATTGACAGCTGGGTAATATTCATAATATAGCTATTTAGAGACTTCAATAGTCGATGACCCCTATACAAAGACTGCTCATGGGTGGAGGCAGGACCTCTAGTTGTGGGTGTCATTGGCGTTTCTAGGGTTGGCAAAGGGTTTCCCGGGACTGAGAGAGGTTTCAAGTGACTTTAGAGAGAGACAATATGGAGGTTCCTAAGGATTTTCCATAGGGCTATTTCGGGGAGTATGTAGGGGTTACTTCTGGGATTTTCTGAGTGGTATATGGATTACAGACATAAGTCCTTACCATCAAGATCCTGCTACATATTTAGAAAAAAGGATAAAGCGGGCATAGACTTACAACGCTATACATGTCCCTTAGCAGAAGCTTCTGTTCAGTTCGCAGTGCTTGCTATGCTTGTCAGCGCAGTCAGATGGTTGGTTGAATTTTTCAGTCTCGAAACGATCATTAGCCATTTCCCTGCTCAGATCAAACCAGATGTATCCCGCGTACTCTCACCAAAGTTATCCTTGTTCGCACGCAGCCTCATAGACTCCATACACGTGTGCATGTAGATCTTATCCCTATCTGGCCCATTGGCCACCGTAGCTTCGCAGGTCCTCACGCATTCGCGCTACGGACGAGCAGGTCCGCACCCCCAGTATCTTCCGAGTGCTCAGTGTGGCCAATTAGGTTGAGTACTCCCTTCAAAGAGTGGTTGCCCAACATCACAACCGTAGTAATAGTGCGCCAGTATACCCTTCAAGTGTGAACTACGTGGCGGTTCAGGGTGAGGGTATCCCAGGTTTAGGGTTAAAGGTTGAGTGGAACAGGAAGGCATAAGTGGTTGTGCCACAGAAGTTCATGTAAGAGCGAAGAAGCGATTTCCAAAGATTCGAGGTGGTTACGCAAGAAGTATGTGAGCCTAATTGTGGGGATAAGGCCTTGTGATGGCAGCATCAGCATGGGAAATCTGGAGGACTAGATGTTCGACCCATGGCTATCTGAAACGCACCCAGGGCCTTGGATACTGCCTCCGCGCGACATTTTGCCATTAGTCCTTCTTTAGACGTTAGTTTTTTCTTGAAATGAGAGTCCCTTCAGTCCTTTATTATAAACCCCCAAAAGCGTAATCACTGCGACAAGGACCTCCAAGAAATGACTCTCATTATTAACCCCCATATGATTGTTACAGGATGTAAGCCCAAATTCTAAACCAGGTGGCACTTTTGGACAATCCAAAAATTTCCCGTATCGTTGTGGCATAAGAGAACTGATGCATGAGTGGGGCTTTTAAATCTAAAGTGGAAGGGGCAGAAAAGGGGGCAGCATCCAACCAAAGCTTGACCAAGCCAAGGTGACATTTGGAGCTTCGGATGCTTGGTCATCGAGATCCTTGGCCGGTGATGGTACGCACTAGTAATTAGGGGTCCGATTCTGGGGGTTGCTATATGAAAGGCTATAGTGACGGATCAAGATGAGAGGGACCCCCCTTGCTGCAAACTCTCACAGGTGAGGGTGCCAAGTAGCATGGCACCAGCTGAAGCCGCTTTCTCTTGATGGACGGGCCCTGCTGCGCACGAAGCCCTACAAATGCAGGCACTCTACACTGAAAATCTGCAACCTACGTCCACAGCCTCCTGCCTACTGGGTCCCAGCTGATCTGGGCTTGAGTGACAGTCCCTAAACATGGCCTAAGCCCTAAACCATACATAAACCCTGCAACGCACAAATAGTATGAGCAAAAATCAGCGCGCAAAGGATGGCCACAGCGGATGCTCCATGGGGTCACTTTGATAACCTCATGGCAGCGCCCGGACCTTAGGACCTTTGCAAGTTTCTCAACAATTCTAGGGTCCCGCTTGGGGAGCCTCAGAGGCCCGCTGAGGTTCCAAGTATGAATCTCTAAAAGACCCCCCCTCATCAATCAAAAGGAGTGCAAGGTTACTTGTGGCAGCTGCTTTTGCGTAGTGCGTGCAACGCGGAGTTCGGCAAAGTCGTTCTTGGAGTGCCATCAGAGCCTCTTCTGGGGGTATATCACGGGCGCCGCATAGCTCCAATGATTGGGTTCCTACAATATTTTTGCCCGTATGTTGAAGCAAATCCCCACAGCAGCCCAAGCCTCCCAACAAGTTCCTCCATTTTGAGACCGGTACGGTGGGCAAAGTCCTCCAAAAGGAAAGCAGAGCACACTACAGGATCCTCAAGATTGGAATGTCCGGAGAGTTGCCACCGATTCCGGATCCTGGGCCTGGGAAAGTTATTCCTCTTTTGTGAACTTCAGTGAGCCGTTTATGAAGGATTCAAAGGTGCTAGGAGGTGTTCCTTCGGCTTCAGATTTCTGAAGGGATTTTAGGCAGAGGTCTACATGGAGCGTATGCCGAGGTTGCAGAGAGAAATACCTTTGCACCAATGGTGGCTTTGTCTTGTCATTCCAATAGACTACATGGAGCAGTTACGTACAGTGGTATGCATTGGAACTCGACATTTCAATGCCCGGAATGCCATTGTAAGCAACAGTGGGAGAGATTAGTTTGTTTCAGGCGTCTTGACAGGATTGATCTTGAAGCATGATTGTTGGGGGATCCCAAGCTACCATCATGCAGCGAAAGCATTATCCCCAGAAGATTTGCACATGCACAGCTCTGCCGAACTGCACATTCCAAGAGCTCCTTTGGGGTGATGGAGCCCAAATTTCCATAGCGTCCACATGATGCCAGGGTCCAAGCAAAAGCCAGAGCATCAAAGGAAAAATGCAGCGAACCAACATGAACTCAAATTTGGAATTACTCAAATAGCTGAGCCATGGCCTGCATTCTGTTACCGTCTGCAGACCATCTGAACCTGCGCCACAAGTGGGGCACCTCTGAATTAAGGGCACCTGTGAGGTCGGGTGTAGTCTGACATCACGGCTCCCGTCGAGATCAGGAAGCCAGCATGAAACAACCCCTGAAGCCCTGCAATCCCCTAGCAGCCCCGAAGCCATTCGAGCCCACCCTAAGAATGCCTGCGGCCTTCCTATCCGTGTAGAGCCCTACAAGCCGCGTAAACCCCTTGAAGCCCCAATGTGAAAACCAACCCGAAGCATCCCAGTGGCCTTGCCATCCTTTAAAGTTCTACAAACCTCATAAACCAGCTGAAGATCCCATGAAACCCACATCTAAGAACCCTTGTGTCCTTACAAACTCAGGAGACGGTCTCCGCCAACTGCAAGGGCTTTATCCGACGATGCACACAGCATGACCCAGGTGGGATCTCCGTCTTTAGAAGAATGGAACAGACAATCATGAAATGGAAAGTTTTTACATGTGTACATATATATTTATATATTTATATATATGCATATGCATATCTGGGTTTATGAGGAGTTTGGGATTGAGGCCTCAGGTTCCCCAGGTCTCTGAGCATTCCGTCATGGGGCTTCGCCAAAAATTGGAGTTGCCCAGTCCTAGGATTAATCGCTTACAGTTCACCACTCCAAATTTGTCATTCTGGGACCTTTGAATCCAAAGCCCTTCTCCCACTATCGCCATGTCGTGAGGTAAACGGCTGAGTGCCACGGAGCTCCTGAATGAGGAGTTTGTGCGCCGCGCTGAGCTGCTTTAGGGTCGAGGACTTTTGGTGTTAAAGTGTTTTGCGGCATGTTGGGGTTTGGTTTTTTGGGTTTTCAATGCTCCAAGTTTGCATCAAGCAACATGAACCTAGGGCTTCAACCAATTTGACCCACGACTCCACCACCCCATGATGTTGAAGATGGCCCACCTATATCTTCGGCGACTATGGGGGGGAGGAAAGGACTACTACATGCACCCCGTTCGTGGTCAGCATAGGAAGCGACCAGCAGAGTATCGGGAATACAGGGACACATCCGGAGCTTCACCATGCAATAGTTGTTATCTAGTCTAGTCAGCCAGGGATGTGCACACTTAGCTTGGAGGTTCGAATGCTACAGGTTTCTAACTCTTGAACTTCACGTGCCTAAGGATGCAAGGAAGTCTAAAGCAGACCAGTATGCAAAAGGCACGCAAGGAACAAACTCAAGACTTTGTAGTGCCCGTTTGATAGTTACGTGTGATTTCGGCGGGTCTCAAGCCCCAAAAGTCTGTTGAATGCTAGCTGGCATGCGCTTCTCTGCCCCGCCCTTCCTGAAGCATTCCAAGCCCCTGTTACCTACAGCCCCCTCCAAGTCAGGCTCGCAGTCGACGAGGAGGGAAACTTCAGGAAAAAGGAGGTGAGAGCAGCTGTGGAGTCAAAGAAATTCGGGAGCCTTGAGAGGATTCGTCTTAGGCTCGGGAGTGCCAAACGTGGGCATGTTCAGAGCATCGTGGTTGAGTTGGGCACGTGCGGGCTGCAGAGGGTAAGCACACATAAAGGTGGGCACGGTCCTGCGGGCACGAAGATCTCAACAGTACACCTCTGTCACTGACCCTTACATGTTTACCCCTGAACTTCTTAGAGTCAGTACAGCTCTCTGTCACCAATGTGGAAGTCTTTATGCTTTGACCCTGAACTTCTTCGAATCGCATCCCTCGCTCGAAATCAAAACCCAAATTCTGTGAGCACTGCAAAGCACACGATATGCTGCCGTTCTCCTTCAATAGTTCCGCCGCAGAAGTCGCAAAATCCAGTAATCCATTAGCATGAGGGGGATTTTGACCGTGAAGCCCTAAAGTTGTATTTCAGCCTGAGGCCCTAATCCTTTTACTCCACTAAGTCATTCCAACCTTTGACGAAGGAAGCTGCATCCCAAGCGGTTCCCGCCTGTGAGCGCATTGACGAGGCTAGGATGTCTCTGGACGGTCTCTCACAACTGCAGTAGATTTGACAATGTTGGAGTTTAGGAACCTTTGTTGCGATAAGCTATATGCTCCGAGCGGAAGTTGCCAAACCCACACTCATCACACGAGCCCTTCTGCTAACCGCCACTGTAGGCTGGCTGGTTGCATGGGTTGCAGAGAGAAATGTCGGCTTTTTGGGGTGGAGTTCCGGGGCAACAAAATTATACCGCACGGGTCGAGGCTTCGCAATACTTGGCAAGCGTTCGGTTCGGTGTCCTCCAAATGAGGGTGCTAGAAAACGCGATCGCATCCTACTAATTGGGATTGTAGGGATTGATCGGAGGACTTCTGTTTCAGCGCGGTTCTCGCGACATGTTCAGGTGTTGGGGTTTGTTTCATCAGTACGGGCAAGATCCAGCACGCAGTGCAATGATATGCAATTACTTCAACGAATATGCAGGGTTCTACATTGCAGCAAAGGCTTTGTGATAAAATCTCGCCCGCTAAATCTCCAGGAGTTCCTAAGGTCGTGAAGTTTAATATTGAAAACACATTTTTAACCTTGAAACTGGGGAGTTCTGGAGTTCGCCAAAACGTTCTTGCGCCTAATGTATTGTTAGGGAGAGGGAGACCAGTAGAATCCCATTGGCGTTCTCATGTTTCCTGCAGGAGGTGGATGAACTCCTACCGCCCGGTTGGGAGCGGCATTTTTGCTCGAGCTGGTCTGCCTGGTGCTCCCACAACAGAATTTGATTTTTCAGAGTGTAGGTGCAACCTGGGCGACAAAGATAACACATGCAAATTTCTCGGATGCGTCAAAGGCTGCCTGAAGACAGTTTCCTCTGGGTGTTGTTTTAGCTTGTAGAATCGCACACGGGGGAGAGCTCATCAGCTGTCTTCGCCATGGTGTTGTAACAGTTGACCAGCCCGGGGATCCTTGCATACAAGTCTCTACAAAGCTTTACCACTATTGAGACCTCAAAGGTTTGAAAGGAGTTCGCATGAATTGAGGAGTAGATTATTGTTGATATACAAAATCTTGCATGACCTCCAGCTGCTTGCAAGCATCACGGGACAAATCCAGGTGATGGAGCCAGAGGTGGAGTCCTTGCGCAAGGATCTCAAGCAGATTATGCTAGGTCTACATAACATGCATTTGTGTAGGCATATACTTGAACGAATATATGTAGCTCAAATACATGTATCTCCTTCATCAGGTCGTGCCTGCTGAGCGAGCCGTGCCCGATCCCCTTCAAATACCCAATAGCCCCGATTCAGTCCAAGCCCCAAAAGAGGACCCAGCGAGCATACTGCTCGTAACCTGCCCTTCGCAAACAGACCCTGAAGAAACGCGCCCTTTCAGACGCTAAAAGCCAGGTATTACTGGCATCGTACAAGCGGGCGATCGCAATGGGTCAGGCCCAACGACGATGAAGTGGATGTCGAGGAGGATTGGACCGATTTGGGTTGTTCAGCCTTCTTGCCACGGTATGCCAACTACTGCAAGCTCCCCTCTATATATATATATGTATATGTGTATATAATAGCTGCCTTTAGAGTGGCACGAAAGTATGTTGGGGGTAACGCGTCTCGTGGTCGTCGAAAAGGCTATTGGGGGTGGATTATTGCAGGGGGTTCGGTTGCGCGCTTGGGAGGGGAGGACTGATTCTCGGGACTAGCCATGACGTTGGGATAAACGGTACACACATTTCAGAATGGCAAGGTCATAATGTTGCTGATTAGATGGTGTAAGATGTGATGTACCCAGGAGCAAACAGGTTCGAAGAAGACTGTGAACCTGTGTTAGTTCTCGGAAACCAAATCCTCAAAACTCTTCAATTTGAATACAGTAAGAAGATCATCATTCACAGATCGAAGCCCTAAACCCTTAAACCCTAACACGTTTTCCAGATGTGCAGCTTGATTGCTTTGCACGAATTGTCCCCCCACACCGACCTCAAAGTGGTCGGTTGAGTCCTTGCGGCTTCCGAGCCTCAAAGAGCCAGTGCCCACGTATACATTCCTGCCGTCATCTTACTGGGGGGGTTAGCATGCAATAAGGGAATAGATTATATGGGAATTATGTAGGGACTATATTCCCTTCTTCCCTACTGAACACCAGTAAGTCATCGCTGTTTCTGCGTGACCTACACATAGCTGATGAACTTGTCAGACAAGTCTGAGATCCACGGAGACTGGCCAATCCAGACGGTTTGCGAATTGGGGTAATATAGGATCATGGAAACTGGAAACTACAGGGCATATATAAGAATTCTATACTTCTCAAAAACATTTTTCTCACCAAAAGTCTGCTGGGTCGCATTCTTCAAGCTTCCTCTTGTTCAATTCTTATTCCCCCAGCTCAAGAATCCCAACCATACCCAAAAGTCATTGCACTAAGTGGGCGTGTCTCAGAATTCTTTCTGTAGAATCCGTGATAGGGACCCCCCAGAATGAATTTGTCATCACGGTATGTCTCTGGGATTCCCAGGTAACCTCCTTTTTTAAAGCCCCAAATCCCAAAACTGCAGATGAAATTCCGAGGAGAGTACCTCGCAACGCAGCGGCAAGAGCTCGCAAAGAACCTCGGCTTTGAGAGTTTCGGACTCATTGTTGAACAGTTTTGAGTGTCTTCATTGAAGCTGAAAAGGGAAAAAAGGGTTTTCTTATCTTTACTATTACCCTAATATGGAACCAGGTCTGCGGTTTTTAGTAGGGGTTAGCTCAATATTTGGCCATTGCAGCATTTAGGCTTCTGGGTATCTTGACCGTTGCGGTACCGTGTGGATAGCAAATATCCAGCATCATATTAATGTGATGTTTTTACCCTCAGGCTGTATAATTATCATGCACACCGTTAACGAATCCAGAGAACACACACCTGAGGATGCCAAAGCCTAGGTTGCTTTAGGAAGTCCTCATGCAGTGTCAATGATCACACACCTTCAAAGGGGTGAGTCGTGGTGTTCTTGCCATGTTGAAGTTATGCCCCGTCCTGATTCTTCAGCCCAATGCTTGGAATGTAGTTTGCGGCGATGCCCTTTGTAGACTTGCCGAAATCAGTTGTTGTGGCTTGGCCAGCTCTACGGGCAGGGTAACCTGATTCCGTTTGTCTGGAGCCAAGGTCCCTTATACTGTTTCCCCATTAGGCTTTTGATGCATGTAGAGCCTGAGCCAACTTGCTTGGGTTTTGAGGCCAAGGCTAGCTTTGGGGATCTTCAAGTTCTTCCAGGGACGTAAAGGGGCTTCCCTGAAGATTATGGAGGGGAACTGAGGAGGGACACAAGAATCCTCACATCTCCTTGCAACACACAAGGCTATGTAAGCATTCTTCTGAAAACCTCCCATTCGGAGACTTTGCTGTTGAGGCCCGGTGCACTTTCCGCACACGCTGCCGGGATATGTGAATGAGGAGGTTTGAGACCCAAGGACGTCTAGCCAAGTGAGGATCCAACAAAAAGTGGAGCCCCAAAATGCACCCCAAATTGTTCTATCAGCCAGAAGAGGAGTTGCATGCTTAGAATCCTTTATGGGATCCACTTAATAATATCGAGCCTGCTTCTGGAGAAGTTTACTGTTTGAAAGTGTTAGCACTTGTGGCAATGTGCTGGATGTCGCAGTTGCTGTTCTTGACAAGGGCTTCCTTGGCTGCTAGCTTTGCTACCAGTCTAGTGCTGTTGGTGTGGTTACGTCCTCTACCTCGTGAGCATGTCTTGCTGCTGCCGCAGACGAGTATGATCATGGCCCGGATGTTTTACTGCTAGAATCAGTACCAGACCATGGATGAGGAGGTGTTGGATTCTGTGAGAATGAATTCCTCAGCCCAGCCGCGCAACTTCATAAGTATCTTGGGTTCTCCAGTCATATTACCGTAATGTGCAATGCTTCTGGCTACACCCTGCGTCCTTGGATTCCCTTGGAGCTGCAAACCTGCAGCTCGGGGACTGCACCATGCGTTTGCAGCCTTATTTTGTAGACTTTTCGATCTTACCGCGTCGGTCCACAGTCTGACAGGGAGCTCGCACGTAGCAGGGAGATGCTGCTCAGGGTCGGTATGTGTGGTGTCTGAAAAGTTGTGCTAGGCTTTCTGATGTTTTCTGATGTTCTCCACGTTTATTCAAGTTTGGATGTCAGAGATCATGAGCCCAGGCACGACTGAGGTATTTGGGTTACACTACAGGTACCGTGATCTGCTGTGTAGGCATTGCATAGTCTGGATGATTGGTGATCCGACGCGGGTTTTTCTAGGCTCCCCTTGAGCTGACCCCTCAATCTTCCGGAAGCATCTGTTTTTTAGGACTCTTGGTTCAGCGTTTCGGCTAAAGAAAGTATGGCTTGCAGCATTAAACCAGGGTTCAGATTAAGGAGATACACAGTTTAGGATTAAGGATTGAAGGACTAGCCTTGTGTGTTGGGGTGAGATTTATGGATCAGGTTAGGGGATTCCCGGCTTAGATCTTGGGATGCGTAGCTGAGAGTTTAAGATGTGTAGTGTGGGTTAGTGGATCCGCGCTGCAGAGCTAGGCTTGTCTGGTTGCAAGTGAAGGGGATGCATAGCCTAGGGTTAAGTACTTCTGTGTGTGGATTAGGATTTCTTGCCTAGAGTTAAGTTTGTGCTTGGTCGTTTGGGATCCCCTGGTTAAGGCCAAGGGTTTTCCTGGCAGTTTGGGCATCTAACGTGCAGCCAGGGCTCAGGTTGTAGGACTGTGGTACGACCCCTAACAGTTAACAGGAACGGTCATGTCATAGCTATCACAGGGAGCCATTGGGGAATCTTCGTCGCTGAGCAGGGACAGGCTCCATCAACTCCTCATCCTATCCCACAGGGAGGTTTATCCTGCTCAAAAGCGATTAAGCGTGGCCTGCAGAAAAAAAAACGGGGAAGGCATTGAAGGCAAAGCTCAAAAACTTAACATTAATTCCGAAGACGAGTGCTTATGCCCCATGTATTCGAACAACATGTTCTCCCAAGCGCTGAGCCTCCAAAGCGCCGAGTTCCTGAAGTTTTCAGAAAGGCGGCCCAACTCCCTTAAGAATTGGCAATACCTGCTCAAAACCGCGCACCCAGACTATTCCCAGACTGCTTGTAATCCACACGAAACCATAAGACGTGCAGAAGCCAAAGCATTTGTAGTCAGTAATAGGCGTGCCACTGACAAGCTAGGGCGAGGCACAGGGAGCATAAGTTTGCAACTTCACATGCCTTGCAAAGAAGCTGAAATCCACGGATTCTTGCCAGCACCATTTTGTACTGGTTATTGGGGAAGAAGCGTCAGTGACTGTTTTTTCGGGATTCCCGAAGAAAGAGGAGGACTGTCAAACTTGTGGGTCCCCCACCGTAGTTCTGAGCAGCATGGTAAGGGCTAAGACGATGGCGAGCAGCTGAAATCATAGCAAGATCCTGGAAAGGAGAGATGAGGCCAGAAAACATGGTGAACATGTTGCATAGTGCTTATCGTGATGTTGCCTCATCATCTTGCCTCCGCACACTGCTACATTGGGTAATCGCATTCCAATGAGATGCAATGGCAAGCGTCCCGTGATTCGGCCCAGCATAGATTTGCACAGGGTGCGGCCATCCGCTTCGGCGACAGCTGCTATCTGGAAGCATGCGATGATGATGATGGCAAAAACCGTCATGGCAGTTTTTACTGGCAACAGCCATTGCAACAGTATTCTTAGTTAACAGCGGAATGATTCCCCGCAGGATGGTTCAGCTTTTCTGTCAGACATGTACCTGGTTGGAAGGTTATATTATGAGGTGACCGAGGATGGCCCAGTAATCAAACTATTGGAATAGAAGCAATGATAAC